TGGTGTTGTGTCTGGCGAGTGCAGGAATCTCTGGCCCTGAAGGATGTACACTATCTTCCTGGTTGGTATTGACAGTGCCAATTTCTGTTTCTGAAACCTCTCCATTTAAACCTAGTGGGATGTTGAGACTAGTCAATCCCCTTGTAGATAGATTAACACACCCTATTTGCATGATTTCGCCCATTCTTGTGGCAAAGTTAATGAATGACTAGGAAAGCCATTATGAGCAATAAACCCTTGAGACCACAGATGATTTCGGGGTGGGTTCCCTTTCTCCCCCAATGCACCAGTCTTTGTAGAAGAAAAATAAGCAATGTCCTCCCATTATATAGCCTTGCATATATAATGGAGGATTGCTAAGAATCAGAATTGTTGAGCCATGGGTTTTTGTAAAAAGAGTAAGGGCCACATGAGAATGTCTATATCTGCCTTTATCAACTTCACAAAGAGGAACAGTCCTTGTCAAATAACACAAAAGCATTTCCATGAGGTCAGAAATGTCCCCCATACGTCTTTTTACAGATCTCAACACCAGTTATATTTTACTGGGTAATCGGATATGATAGCTCACAGACCACACAGAACCATGTTGGGAAAGTCAAAAGGTTACAATTTAGTTTAGTAGTAGAATACAGTCAGGATGGCTCCAGAAATGTCCTAGCTGGCACCTCAGCCTTGAGCCTCATGGCTTTAGGTCAGTGTTAAAAAAGTTCTCAGTCCTGTCAATTTTGATTCCCCTCCCCCAGTTACCCCACAAACTTGGGCAAATTTTCTTAGCTCTGGTTCCAATGATGTAGCTGTCCCAAGGTCCTGTCTCCACTTCTCTGCAGTGGCTGCTATGGCTATTTGTCCTGTAGGTCCTCTTGCTTCTTTTTTTCTTTGCTGGTGGGGAAGGTCTGTCCTTCTTTCTGGGTTGCTCAATTTAATAGTGAGACTAGCCAACCCCCTTGTGGATTGGTGAGATTAGCCAGTCTTCTTGTACTTTGGTAGAAGTCAATCCCCTAACATGCCCTAGTCACATATGCCACCCATGCACATGAGAAAGTCAAACGATGGTTAGGAAAGTCATACTGAAAGAAGAACTCCACAAATTTATGCCCACATATACTCATACATACCTGCATATACATTGGCTACTGCTGCTATTCTTGTTGTTGTTAAATGCTGTTGAGTCGTAGGCGACTCAGAGCGACCCTATGAACTTTCTTTGTTTCTCCAAGGTCATAGGGTTTCCAGAGGTAAGCTATTTCAGAAGTGGATGCCACTCCTCCTTCCATGCTTGTTTTAATCAGGGAGCTCTGTGAAACACTGTCCGCTATGGGTGACCAATATCACATTTGGCACATCAGGATCACAGTGTTCAGCATCATCACAAGGCTATTATTTAAAAATTATGTTTCTGGCTGTTACCCAAAAGGTTCTTCTTTTTGTGAGTTCATTATGATGATATAATTTACCTTCATTAAGCTGTGCACACCTCGCTTTTATTCAGGGTTATTATCTTTCCCACCACTTAAAAAAAAATCCCACACCCTTGGAAACTTGATGGAGGGTTGCTATGCACTGGAACCAATTCAAGTGCATCCTTCTTATCATCCTCGAGAACTACTAGAGAAGATTGTTGTTGTTTTTGTTGTGTACCATAGAGTCAGAACTGACCCATAGCTGACACACTGGCGAGTATTCAGAGGCAGTTAATTACACAAGAGGAGATTTCCCATCCTTCTCCCATGGAGCAGCTGGTGGCCTCAAACCACACACCTTTAGGATTGCAGCACAGCTTCTTGCCACTAGGCCACCAGAGCTCAATGAACATTAGTTTCTGTATATTTGCCTATTGATTCATTTCACAAAAGTGAGACTATATGATATTTGTTTGTTTGTGCTTTATTTTCTTTGTTCTACACAATGACCTTCAGGATTACCCATGTTCCAAGGGTAAAGACTCAGGAATTAATTTTTCTAGATCACTGAATAGTAATGAATATTATTCTATGTACACATGTCTAACATTTTACTAATCCATGGGTAGTGCTGCAAAGAATATACTGTTATTGTTAGGTGCTATTGAGTCAAGTAAAACTGATAGCAACCCTGTGAACAACAGATCCGAACTTTGTCCTATCCTGTATCATCTTCATCTCTGACACACTCAAGCCCATTGCTGCTGTCACTGTGTCATCTTGTTAAGGGTCTTCCTCCCTTTCACCTACCCTCTACCTTTCCAAGCATGATGTACCTCTCCAAGGAATAACCTCTCCTAGCAGCATGTCCAAAGAATGTAAAACCAAGCTTTGTGTAGGGAACACACTAGTTGCACCTTCTCCAAGACATATCTCTTCGTTCGTTTTGCAGTCCATGGGATATTCACTACTTGTCTCTAACACCTCCAACTCTTCTCCAACAGCTCAAAAGCCTTAATTCTTCTTCCATTATCCCTGTTTTCTGTCTAGCTCTCAGATGCATAGCAAGTGATTGAAAATGCCATGAATTGAGTGTACCTTAGTGTTTAAACTGACATTATTGTTCCTCAGTACTTTGGTGAGGTAACTCACAGCAATCTTGTCCAATGCAATGTCTCCTGATTATTGGTACCAAGAGTTGCCTGTAGATCCAAGTAAAATGACATAATTGACAACTTCTTTTCTTCATCTATCAGGATGATGTTTTAAGGTCCAGTGGTTGAGGATTTTTGTCTTCTTGATGTTAAGATGCAATACATCCTAGAGGCTGTAGTCTTTGAGCTTCTGGTTTGCATTTACTAGCTGCTCTGCAAGAGAAGGATGGGAAAGCTCCTCCTGTGCAATTTACTGCCTCTGAATACCTGCTAGCGTGTCAACTATGAGTTGGCTCTGACTCAACAGCACACAACGCTGTTAATCATAGCCACTAACTAACACCTATGTGGGTCTGCCATGTGTCAGGCTTCTGAGAGGCAGAAAATGTAGCTGTGTATATGTCTGTCCATGGAACTTCTATTAGAACCTTAGGGTATACAAGTAGGAATGGAATTGCTACTGCAAAAGAAACTGCCAGATTGTTTACCACAACAGCTGTACCATTTTGCATTCCTACCAGCAACAGATAAAGGTTGCAATTTCTCCACTTCCAATACTTGTTATTTTCTTTCTTTTTTTTCTTCTCTTTTAAAATTTTTAATTCAATTGTAGCTATACTAACCTGTTGCCTTTGATGGAATTGTAGTTAACCTATAAAAGAGAATTGCCCCACAGTTTCCAAAGCTACTATCTTGATTGGTGGGTTTTACTGCCTATCTTTTGGTTAGCAGCTGCAAGCTTTACGGCTTTGTTATCAGGCCTCAGTTTAGTCATCCTAGTGGGAGTGAAATGGCATTTCATTGTGGTTTTGATTTGCATTTCTCTGGTGGTTAACGGTGCTGAACATCTTTTCATGTGTCTGTTGGCCATTTGAATATCCTCTTTGGTAAAGTGTTTATTCATATTCTTTATCCAGTTGACTGGGTTATTTATATTGCTGTTGTCAAGCTGAAGTTTTCTACATATTTCAGATATTAGGACTTTGTTAACTCACTACCGAAAGTTGTTTATCTCTTTTGATAAACTCTTTTGGACATACATATATACTTAGGGACATCTTGTGGCCTACTGGTCAGGAGTTGAACTGCTAACCCAAAGACAGGCAGTTTGAATCCACCAGCTACTTTGCAAAAGAGAGATGAGCAATTGAGTCTCCTGTTTTTTGACAACCTCTGAAAACCCAGTAGAGGGTTAGTTAGGTGGTTTCCACTCAACTGGGTTTCCTACTTGATGGCACATGCAACATTTATGTACAAATTCAATGTGTATGAGGTTCCAGGCACCTATTTTGGTTTCTGTTGGTTGTCAGTTTGTTGCTGTATTGGGAAACCTTTTCAATGTCTTTTATAATGATTTCCTATCATCTCTTCCGGTTAGATTCCCAGATAGGAAGCCGCAGAGCAAGTAGAAAGGAAGGATGAGGTAGAAGTATACAATCAGCACCATGCCGACCTAGTCTAAATTCTGGCTATTACCCATTGGCTTAGCATAACCTGTTTCTTCATCTATACAATGCTAATCAGATCAGACAATACATATAACAAACGCAGTTACTTAAAGGGTCCTTAAATAAAAACAACACCCAAATTAAAAAAATACACTAAAAGCTCAAACCCACTGGCCCTGGAGTCCATTCCAACTCATAGAACCCAATGGGACCTAAAGGATATAAAAGCCCTATAGGTTTTCCAAGGCTGTGAATCTTTAGGGAGACAGACTGCCACCAGCCACTTCTTTTTCCTGCAAAACGGCTGTTTCACTGATTGGGAGCCCAGCACTTTAACAGCGGTGCCACGAAGACCCATACATGCCTTAGCGTTGTGTAAATGTTCGTTAGTTCTTTCCACTCTTCATTCATCAGAAATAGTTTCTCCAAGCTCCGCTACGATTGCCCTGCTTTGAGATCTGCTACTATGTGAATGAGTCCAAAAGTTAGTTCTTGGCTATGCTGCAATCTGTGGCAAAGGAATGTCTGCTTCTCACATGTGCAGGCAAGTAGAGCCCTTAGCATTCTGCTACTTGACAGGGCTATTTAGCAGGTGCACATAACCGAACATTGCTGAATCAAGAGGGGGCCGCTCTGGATTTCACTAACCAGGCCACCAGCAGCATGAGGCTGGCTACCTCAAGTGCAGTCAGAAATGAAACGAAACGCCCTAAACCGAGCAAAGCTCAAACAATACACACAGACTAGTTAGTTCAATGTGGGCATGTGATGTGGAAAATACTACAAATCCAGGCACTTTTTCAGGTACTTTGCTGTTGTGGGGTGGGGAGAGCGGGAGATTGCAGACCTAAAGCCCTGGACCCAGAAAGGAAGCCAACCGGGTTAGTGCAGAGAAGGCAGAGGACAGCCCGTATTTCTGGCTCCTTTACAATGAGGCACGTGTGCTATCCGGGCAGGTACTGAAGCGTGCTCTTGACCCTCTGTCCCCCTTGGGCATGAGGACCCCCGGGCCTCCAGCTGCTCTGCGGTCTCCGGCCCGCGGGCCACGCGGTCCAGGTAAGGCCTCCGGGCGGCGCGTCCCCGCGTGCCCCTTCCCCCTCCCGGCGACTTCCTGGTTTGCAGAAGGTGCAGGAGCCGCTGCGGGCGGTCCCGGTCGCAGGAACTGAGAGGCCCCAGCTTTGGCGGCCACGGCGGCGGGGGCGGCGGCCGGCAGCGGCGGGGGCGGCGGCCGCGCTGCTGCTGTCACAGAAAGGCGCTGAGGGGTGGGGTGGAGGCGGGGAAGCGCCGGGGGCGCCACCGATATGGGCCCGCCGTCGCCTCAGCCGCCGCTGTGAGCCGCCTCCTTCCCCGGCGGGGCGGCCAGTGTGACTGGGGCCGGCGCGACCCTCCGGCCGCCAGCGCGAGGGGGCGGGGACGGACGGCCCCACACCGACATGTAACCATGGA